ATCCAACTCCCAATGACTTTAAATTTTTTTGAAGTTGAGGAATACATAGGACATACTACATACATCTTATGTATACAGCCTGCTGAATTTTTACATATGTATATACCCATACAACTACTTCCAGGTCAAGACATAGAATATTTCCATCGCCCCAAAAGGTTCCCTTATACTCTTCCCCAGTTGATGCTCACACACACCCCCACAAGAGTAATCAGTGTTCTACTCCAATTTCCATGAATAAGTTATGCTGCTCTTAAGTTTTACGTAAATGGAAGCATAGAGAATATATACTCTTTTATGTTATGTTTTACGCAAAATGACTGTGAGATTCAATCATGCTGTAGATAGCAATAGTTCCTTTTCATTGCCTGTAGTATCCCAGGTTTGACATATTGAATTGTCTTACATTTAATTCCCTGGCTCTTCTTCTATTTTTTGTGTATTTTAGGTTTATAATAATATTAGCAAGCATGACTGCTTACCATGAATCAGAAAGGTGCTAAGTACATTGCACTGCTTAATCTTTTCAAGAGTGTGAGTTTGGTAGACCATTAATCCACTTTACAGATGAGATAACTCAGGTCATATAGATAATAAGAGGTAGAGCCAGTACTGAATGTAATCCTTCTCTTGCGTTCATGATCCTGAATTCTTAGCTATTGTATTAGCAGCCCTCTCACTCTTGGTGCTTTACCAATAATCACCAATGAAATGAAAGACTGACTTGGGAGAATAAGCAACTTTCCTTCTATTTCAAGGATCTTTCAATTTTAGCCTTTTTTCTTTCTTCCTGTCCACTGGTTCTAAGGCATCATCAACTAGGCTGGTGAATTGGAGGCTGATTTGTCAATGAGCCATTGAGATGTTCCTGACTTCCTCTTCAGATGAGCAAATCTGTTTAAAGCATGTAATCTTCCACACAATTATCTTTCTACAGTGATGAACTTTCTTTTTTCTTTTTTAAAAATATATTTTATTGATTATGCTGTTACAGTTGTCCCATTTCCCCCTTCCATTCCCCTCTACCTTGCATATGCTTTCCCACCCACATTTCTCCCCTTTAGTTCATGTTCATGTGTCATAGTTCTTTAGCTTCTATGTTTCCCATACTATTCTTGCCCTCCCCCTGTCTATTTTCTACCTATCATCTATGCTACTTATTTTCTGTACCTTTTCCCTTGCTCTTCTCCTCCCACTCCCCTATTGCTATCCCTCCATGTGATCTCCATTTCTGTGGTTCTGTGCCTTTTCTAGTTGTTTGCTTAGTTTGTTTTTGTCTTTGTTTTAGGTGTGGTTGTTAATAATTGTGAGTTTGCTGTCATTTTACTGTATATGTTTTTTATCTTCTTTTTCTTCAGTAAGTCCCTTTAACATTTCATAAAATAAGGGCGTGGTGATGATGAACTCCTTTGACTTGCCCTTATCTGGGAAGCACTTTATCTGCCCTTCCATTCTAAATGAAAGCTTTGCCGGATAGAGCAAACTTGGATGTAGGTCCTTGCCTTTCATGACTTGGAATTCTTCTTTTCAGCCCCTTCTTGCCTGCAAGGTCTCTTTTGAGAAATCTGCTGACAGTCTGAAGGGAACTCCTTTGTAGGTAACTGTCTCCTTATCTCTTGCTGCTTCTAGGATTCTCTCCTTCATTTGCATCTTGGCTAATGTAATTAGGATGTGCCTTGGTGTGTTCCTCTTTGGGTCCACCTTCTTTGGGACTCTCTGAGCTTCCTGGACTTCCTGGAAGTTTATTTCCTTTGCCAGATTTTGGAAGTTCTCCTCTATTATTTGTTCAAATACATTTTCCATTTGTTGCTGTTCCTCTTTCCCTTCTGGCACTCCTCTAATTTGGATGTTGGAACATTTAAAGATGTCCTGGAGATTCCTAAGCCTCTCCTCCTTTTTTTGAATTCTTGTTTCTTCATTCTTTTCTGTTTGGTTGTTTCTTTCTTCCTCTGGTCCACTCCATTGATTTGAGTCCCAGTTTCTTCCCCATCACTATTGGTACATTTTCCTTTATTTCTCTTAGCATAGCCTTCATTTTTTCATCTAATTTGTGATCAAATTCAACCAATTCTGTGAGCATCCTGATCACTAGTGTTTTGAACTGTGCATCTGATAGGTTGGCTATCTCTTGGTTGCTTAGCTGTATTTGCTGTGGAGCTTCGATCTGTTCTTTCACTTAGGCCATTTTTTTTTTTTTGGTCTTGTCATGCCTGTTAGGTGTTCACCAGGGTGGGGCAACCCAGTCCCTGGGTTGTGATGCTGTATGTGGGGGTAGGGTCCGAGAGGGAACAATAGTGCTTGCTCAGCTCTCTCTCTGATTTCAGTCCCTTCCACTACTTCCCCCAAGCAAACTAGGTCTTTCTGGTGCTGATTCCTATGTGGGTGGGCTTGTGTAGGTTCTAGGACCCTGTGGGTCTCTCCACTGAACTCTCCCATTAGGCTGGGAGTCTCTCCCTGAGCCTCAACCCCTCAGGTGTTTTCAATTGGTGTTTTGAGGCTTTATTTTCTGGCACTGAGACCCTGGGTTGTACAGTCTGTCTTGCTCCCCAATTTCACCTGGTTTATCTGCGTGCAAACGTGGGACCACCTGGTCAGCCAGCTGCCTTGTGTGCAGTGCCTCGCTTCACAATTGCCACCTCGCTGGGTCTGCTCGTCGCCACCCCACGCCCAGGGTCCACTGCTGCTGTCTTGCATGCCTGGGGGTGCCTTTTGCACCTGGTGCCACCACTTTTTGTGCTGCCACCCCTCTCCACCCAGCTGCCTGACTCTGCCCCACCTACCAGTCTGGATGAATGTGTCTGTTTTCACTCCTTGGTTGTCTGACTTCCATACAGTTCAATTTTCTGTCAGTTCTGGCTGTTATTTTGTTTGTAAATTGTTGTTGTCCTTATTTTGGTTGTACGAGGAGGCACTGTGTGTCTACCTATACCTCCATCTTGGCCAGAAGTCCTGAACTGTCTTATTTGCTAGTTTTCTGGTCATTCCCTCAATTTCTGTCTTTGGTAAGTGCAAATAATAGAAGACTCAATTTTGCTCTGTGGTCCCTGTTCAGGTTACACCTAAATTGTGAAAAACAATTGTCTGTTCTGTTGAAGGAAATGTGTAAACTTCCTTTGATTTTAATATCTAATAAAACTTTAGCAGAAGGAAGTATATTCCCAAATACAAATTACCATGGGTAATGATGCTTCATTTCCTTTTTTATTTTGCTAATTAGAGATGGAAAATTGCCGGTCAGCTTACTCCATGGTGTCAACTTGAATAGATTTAAAAAGATAATCAGATGCTTTGCGGCAGTTTTAAGTCTGGTTTTGATTCAGTATCTGGATAAAAAGTCTCCACACATACTGATATTTATGAATTCTCCACTTTATTTTTATGTTTTTTTACTGTGTAAACAGACCTCAAAAATTTGGACTACTGTTGCTGAGTATAAAGACGTGGTGGTGTTTGGATTTGTAAAGGCAGGGAGTCCGCACAATGATTCTTTGTGTTCCAACAGGAGGTAAAGGTCAGGAGTGAAAAAATGGGATGGCTTTGCTCAATGTCATGCCACTAACTTTTCTTAAATCACATAAAATACATTTATCTGTTTATCATTTTTGGAATCCAAATTCATATTCTAAGGTTCATCCCACAGCTTTGGGAGTTTTTTTTTTTCGAGGAGCCATGAACCTGCTGGACAAACAGTATGGTAGGGCAACCAAATGATTGATGGGAAGGGGTGTTCTGTACGGAGGAATTCACATGGAAGTAGTGATAGAATCAGAAACCACCCGTTTACAACTATAATGAAATAGTGGATCTAGACAAACATTATCAGCAATTGATAAAACTGTTAAGTGGAAGATTGATGAGGACTGCAGCATGGGTGATTAGGTTGACAACACCGGAGCCCGCCATCAATCACACCACCACTAAAAGAGACAAGTAGACCTTACATGCCTCCTGATGTGATAAAGCAGTAAGTACTCAGCATCACCTATGAAGTGTTCTTGCAAATAGCATTGATCCTGAGTCTAACCAAACCTTCAGCTCTAGCTACCAGTGCGCAAAGAAATACTGGGGACTGAGCTGTGGTTCTCAGCCCTGACTGCACAATAGGCCCACGTGGGGGATTTTAAAGTCCTGATGCACAGGCTGTGTCCAAGACCGATTAAATAAGCTCTTGGCCTGGAAATCAGTATTTTTTCTAGCTCCCTTGGGTGTTATATACAGTACAAGCCAAGGTTGGAAACCAGGGGAATAGAGGAGCAAGTTAAAAGTCAGGACAAGGAGACAATCTTGAAATGTGGACTGTGAGAAACTTTTAAGACAAATGACCAGTGTTTTACACATATGTATGTAGTGGTAGAAAAAGGTGAGGGCGTGTGATACAGATGAAGGGAGACTTAAGAAACATAAACTGAATGTGATGTGGGGACTTTGTTTTGATCCTGATTCCAACAAATCAACCATTCTAAGACATTTTTCCTTAAGAATCAGGAAAATTTAAATTCAGATTGATGATTCAACCATACTAAGTCATAGAGCATTAATTGTTACTTGTGATAATGGTTTTGTGTTTATGCTAAAAAGGTTCTTATCATTAGAGATTCATGCTGAGGTATTTATGGATGAAATACAATGTCTGGGATTTGTTTTTAAAGTACTCTAGGGAAAAATGGTGAGGTGATACATAAAAACATACAAAAAATGGTAAAAAGTTGATAATTATTAAAGTTCAGTGATGGGTACATGGGGGTTTATTTTACTGTTCTCTACTTTTGTGTGTTTAAGCGGTTCTCATGAAAAGATGAAAAAGGAGGCATAAAGGTGAATTAAATGCTAATATATCTCATGCACAGTGATACATTATCAATATAAAGTCTAGAAATTTTGTTTGGAAAAAACCTGCAATAAAATGAAGTCTAATGCTCTGTTTCACTGCAAAACAGTTCTTATTTTCAGAAAAATATTTATATATTTCATTATTAATTATGTTTATATTTTATATGCAGACAATGCTGGGCCACCTCCTTCTACTCTTATCAACCAAAATGAAACTTTTGCCAAAATAATTTTTAAGCCTAGTGTGGTACAACAAGCGAGGATTGCACAAAATGGCATTTTGGGAGATTTCATCATTAGATATGATGTCAATAGGGAACAGAACGTTGGAGACATCCAGGTAGGTTTTTGTTGTTACTCTTTCATGTTAGCTGCTTGATGCTTTTCGTTAGACTCAGAACTGGGGGTTCTAAGGCAGAGAGAGCTTTCTGACTTTTAGGAAATTTGTTTTAACCCAAAATGTGTCTCCAAGGAGACCAGTGGTATTCCCCAGCTGGAGACTGAGGGCATGTATTTCCTGCTTCAGTCATCTGGAGAACAAGTGAAATTTATAATTTTCCCTGTGGTGTGTTATATGAAGTTAGAATTTTCAGTTCTTCTTCAATTTTAATTAATAAAAACTGGTCCCTGGCTCATTTCCCTGTAGATTTTATTGCTCCAAAGATAGGATTGGAATATTCAAATGTATTAATGTGCACCCAGAATATAGACAGTATTCTTGGCATCTCAATTTGTAAGATGCTTGGTAAAAAAAATAAACAAACAGATAACGAAGGAGGCAGGATTCTCAAGAGGCAAGTGGCAGAAGGGTATGGATAATTTAAATTGAATCAGTCAACATGGTTGATAAAAATTTTAAGGGATGATTTTATCACTTATACAATGAAATTAGCAATTCATTATCTTGGAAGGATCAGGCCCATGAATACTTTTGTTCTTGGACCCTGCTTTCATGCTCTCTGATTTTTTTGAAAGTTCCATATACTGTCCATTTTAGTTAATTTTTCTACCTATTCTGGGTACTACCATTTATATTTTCCCCCCCAACAGGTTCTAAATGGCTATTTTGTGCACTACTTTGCCCCCAAAGACCTTCCTCCGTTACCCAAGAATGTGGTGTTTGTGCTTGACAGCAGTGCCTCCATGGTAGGAACCAAACTCCGGCAGGTGAGTGACAAATGCCCACTTTTTTTTCTCTCATTTTTGCCTGCGACAGTGACGTGGGTAAAATTCCATCGATGCCAAATGTCTGCTTTACCAGGCAGCCATAGCTGCGTGCAGAGGGCATTCCTAATCTGATTCAGTGAAACCATGGGCATAAACGCTCCTTTCAGCATGGTGGTTTCAGAGAACAGAGGGATATGCTATAGACACATCCTGAAGTAAAGGAGACTGCAGAGTGGATAATGCGAGGGAGGCAGGACTATACTGAGAGAGCCACACAGCAACACCATTGCTGATGGAATGATTCTGTTCAGTAATGATGTCCTTTGAGAACAATGGAAGAGATTCATTGGCAGCCCTGTTGACATATTCTTAGGACAAAGGACCTGTATCTCAGTAATTCAAGACAGATATTTCCACAGTACTTAGGATGACTCTTAAAATTCTTGGGATGGGAGGAAGCTCAAGGGTACATATAGTCTGTACTGAAAAATTTTAATGTATCTCGACAGTACAACTATATACTTTTTAACAAAATGAACCACTGGGAGAGGCTATTCCTTATCTTACTCTGGTATCCCAAATATAAGAAATTTGCATTTATAATGTATTTTCAACTTGTGTAACAGAAAACAGAAAGAGCTACTGACTGCTGGACCAATTGATAGCTCTCCACTTATCAAAAACTTAGATCTCAGCTTTTCTTTTTTAATTTATATCTATTTTATCAAATAATATTAAATATAATGAGTAAAATTGTATATTGAACCTCATGAGAACCTTCTATCTCACCTGTTTCCATTCCCAGGTCCCAATTTACAGGCAGTTGAAATGGATTCTAACTGATAACTATTATACATATTTTCCCTGTTATCACTTATAAATGCTTCTTTGGCCATTTATATTTTTTAAAATCATGTAGTGTAATATATTGATCTCTTTATGGCATTTGATTTTTCTTTATCCCAAAATAGTAAAAAAAAAAACAAACAACCCTCACAAAATGTGATATGAAGATTAGGTTTAACTCTTTTCTTTCAGAGGACAGCCAAATTTAATTTATAACTAATGTAGGAGGAAGATAACCTCTCTTGGAAGTCAGCTTCTTGTAGTTCTTCAACATCACATTCTTGTACAGAATTCAGCCCACCAATGCCTCCATTTTTATTGCTCCTCTTTCCTTTTGCATATTTAACCTTTCATGTGGGGTTACTTTTTTTTTCCCCCCAAAGAACACTCATAGGTATCTTTTTAAATATAGGTCTCCTGGTAAAGAATACTGTCAGCATTTGTCTGGAAATTATTGATTTCACTCTCATTTTTAAGGATACTTTTACTGGTATAGAATTCTAGGTTGGTGGCAATTTTCTTTCAGTCCATTGAAGGCAGATTTCCCTGGCCCCTCTCTTGGCTTCCATTGTTGCTGTTGAAAAGTCAGTTATCTTTTTAACTGTTGTTCCTTTAAAAGTAACTTTTCTATCAACTGCTTTTAAGATTTTCCTTTTTGTCTTCGGTTTTCTGCCTGAAGTTTCTAGGACTTCATGAACGTGTGGATTCATGGGAAAATCCCAGCCCTTTTTCTGAAGTTGCGTCATCTTAACTTTCCCTTCCTAGCCTCCCAATGTTAGATTTCTCTCTCCACGCTCTCTGTTCCCCATGCTCTCTTCTATTGATTCCGGCTTTTGTCTTTTCATATTTCATTCCAGATCTATCTTTCAGTTCATGGATTCTTTTTTCAGGTATATTTGCTGTACTGTTAAACTAATTGAATTATTTTAGTTATTATATATATTTTTTGTTCTAGAATTTCTGTTTGTTTTTTCCAAACCTGCTCTGTCACTTTTTTGAAATTTCAGTTATTTTTCAAATTTTTAAAAATGTTAAAAAAATGTTTTAAGCACAGTAAACATAGTTATTCTAAAGTCTGTATGCTCTTATTTTAAACTCTGGAGCTTCTTAGGAGTTGCTTTTATTGTTTCTTATCTTCTCTCCTTGTGTGACTGGTTACCTTTGATTGCATGATGGACGTTATATTTTAAAAATTGTTTGTAGAAATATTTTGAGGCCTAAGATGATAGTCTATGCCTCTAGAAATCATTTTGGGTTTTTTTTTTTTTTGAGTATGTGAGGAAATTATAACCTGGGATTACTTTAGCCCATTTCAGGGCTTGAGGTTTTCTAGGTGGCCCAGATGGCTCACGGCTAGATTGCACCTGACACTGGTGGTCTCTGGACCCCAGCTCTTTTGGATTCCTAAACTACAAAATGTTCAGCCCTTCAGATACCTCTTGGGCCTTAGACACGTCCCTTAGACAAAAGTGATCCTAAGTGCTGAGCCAACCTCTTTATATTTTATCTTCTCTCAGATCTTTTTTTCTTATTATTTTGTTAGCTCTCTTATATCTCAAAAAATTTTTAAAATAGACATTTTGTTCAGCTTTTTCAGTTGTTCTTGATGGGAAGGTCGAGTACAAATTACCTGTAGGTTTCCTTTGAGGGCACCATTTCCCCAAGTTTTATTCGCTCATAGTGAAGCAATCTTTCATAGTGGTTGATTATTTATTGATCCCTGAGAGGCCTTACAGCCTTTCTGTATTTACAAGTGTGCTGAATTTCTTTGTTTTATGTACCCCAAGTTCTTAGGTGTCATTGTTGGCTAAGTTGTTTTTGTGCCTCTAAGTGGATGATAGATATTGACAGAAAAATGATCATGGCTTCTTTCAAGACCACCGTCAGTCACAGAATACATGTTAGTTAGGCCTTGCGTCTGATTCCAGTATGATAATTCCCATTTGGATTTTGAATCAATTAACAGCTACTGAGTAGGTGCCATCTACTAGGTTTCCCCATGTATCTCATTAAATTTCTATACACCTATAAAGCTTCAGGTTTTCTTTTCTTTTTCTTTAAGGCAGTGAACTTAATGAGGGCAGTGTTTGGGTTTTTTCTGAAAAAAATATAACTCGAAGATACTGATGATTAAGTTATTGCAACCAATCAGAACTCCTGTTACCACCAAATATTTTGTATTTTGACATTTATATCCAACATTGTTAAATACTTTTTAAAAACCTGACTTTAATGGCCACAGAGCAGTGCTATTTAATAGAAACTTCAATGAGAATGGGAATGTCCTATATCTCTATTATCCAATATGGCAGCCACTAGTCATGTGTGGCTTTGTGCACTTGAAATGTGACTAATGCAACTGAGAAACTGCATTTTTTATTTCAATAAATTTGAATTTAAATAGCCACGTGTGATGCTGGTTACCATATCGGACAGTGAAGCTGAAGAACGTTCACTCGCTCCACCATCCTTGAGAGACTTTTAAGTTTTTTCTGTTTCTTGCTGTTTTATACAGCATTGGGATGACCATCTTTACAGAGAAATCCTTGACCATGTGTTCAATCATTTTCTTACATTAAATTCTTAGGAGTGGGGCAAAGAATACCAGCTCATATGTGGTTTTTACAAATATTACAAAAACATTTTTTAGAAAGGCTATACCAATTTATAACTTTTAAAACTGTTACCAGACTAGGAATTCCAAATGGATTAAGCAGTTAAAAGTAACCAAGGATCCACACTCCAAAATATGTAAGAAAATATGTGTGCATTTAACTAGTTTTAAAGTATGAAAGGCCTCTTCTAAGCCTAAAAGCAATGAAAGTAACTAAAAGGGAAAAAAATAACTTTACCTATATAAAAATTATAAACTTTTGTTTCAAGTTAAAAGTGAACAAAAGTTGGAAAAATATGCAGCAAAAAGATTTTCTTTAATATATAAAGAGCTATATGAAAAGCAGCAGGTGTTTATCTTTAATATATAAAGAGCTATTCCAAATCAATAAAAATTAGTCTCGTGTAAGAAAATGGTCAAAGAGTATGAAATCATTTACCATAAAGAAATAAAAAGATTCAGTAAGATTCTGAAAAAGAGCTAAATGTATTGGTAAGTAAATAGATGCAAATTTTAAAAATACAATTTTTATTTTCCTACTGTCAAACTTTAAATAATGTAAATTACTTATAATGACAATTTCTAAAGTATATATCCATAGAGCTCAACAAAATGCATTATTTCTCAATAAACATTAAAAAACATCAAAATGGTAAAATGTATGGTCAGTTCTACTGCATCTTCACAAAAAGGCATTAGTCACTCAAAGGCCACACCAGCCCAAAGGACTCACTTCTTTAGGTACCTGAATCACTGCAAGGTTTAACCTCAAACCCAGTGTATACCAGTGTACAGGGTCTTCTTCTACTTCTGATGGGAGAACTATCAATAATTTTCTTACTAAATAACCCTCGGAGAGACAAATATTACCCCAAGTTGTATAGAGAAAACCAGTGAACTAAGTTGAGATCTCCTAGACTTATCATTAGTGATAAAATAACTTGAGTAAGCCTTAAAAATATGGCATGGAACATTTTCAATGTGTTACATACTATGTTAAAGGAAGTACATGAGTTATTGAATAAAAGGATATTTAATCTCTGTAACAATTTAATTGTCATTCCCATTTTATTGATTCAAAAGCTGAGGGTTTGCAAAAGTTTGTAAGTCAGTGAGGGCATGGCAGAGGGAGGCTTCAAAGCCAGGTGTGACTCTGAAGTCCTTAAGCCATAATGCTACGGTGTCTTAGTGCAAGTAACGGTATGATGAAGCAGCAGTGTCTGCAGTGGTGGAAGTGCCAGTGGGTCCAGGGTCAGGGCAGTTTGACATTTTAAAACCCAAGCGACAAGTCTGTTCAGAAGGAAGGATTTCCTTGCACTGTGCAAGAGCAGCGTGATGATAGATGTCACTCCTTCATTATTCTCCTCTTTTCCTTCATTCCTGGAAATTAAAATTCCATTCCTTGCTAGGCACTTAAAGTCTGGCACGCATTTTGCTGGCTTCTAAGCTGCAGCATGGCCTTTTTCCAGGAGTACCCAAGGACAGCCAAACACATGTCAGAAGCCTCTACACAATTTCTAATGTCCATTGCTGTCTTGAG